TTGTCTCTCTGCCTGTAGGTAGTGCCCCAGTGAGAGGATTAACTCCCTAGAACTATAGCTCTTGATTTTTGGCGGGCTGTGGAGTGGATCGGTCATTTCCAAATGCCCCAGGAATCACCTGGGGCTGACCATTTTTGCCCCTCTGTGCTAGCAGAGCAGAGCAAGTGAGGAAAAAGCTTTCAGGATGAGTGTGCCCTGTGCCAAGGGGCTCCTCCGTGCACCGCTGGTGACGCAGGGGGGAGAATGGGTGGACAGAGAATGGTGTGTTCCCGCTGCTTGGCAGAGAGGACGTAACGCAGTGCGGCCACATGGCTGCTCCCGTCTGCTGGGCGAGCCGCCCTGCTCCCGCAGCCTCCCGGAGACAGCGAGAGCAAGGATGAGCTAGCTAAAAATCGGAGCCACAGCATCCAAAGTCCAAAGCTCAGTAACAACGAGGCTGACTTGTCTCATTCACGTAAGGCTATGGCAAGCCCAGTGCTTTCCCCGAATGCCGAGTTTAAAAACCCTGGTCCAGTCCCACTGTTGCCCACCACTAATAAGTCGTTTCTCCCACCGGCCAGATTTCCCCCTCCTTTCACTTTGCAGTATGATATGACTTCGTTACATCCCAGCCTTCCCACAGAGCTGATTCAGGGGGAGTCTGAGGGCGTGCTCCATGCCAGGGAGGGGTGATGTGTTTATGGGGGTTTGTTCTCAGTCACTGGAACCAGTCTGAATCCCCGGCTGAGCGCACCCCTTCTCCCAGGGCCCCTCCGGCTGTGCCGGCCGCGCATCCTAGCACCGTCCGCTTGCGCACAACTGCTTCCCCCGTGCCGGCGTCGCGGCAGGGGTTGTCTCGCCGCAACCTCGGCTCGGCGGGACAGCTTTTCGCTCAGCCCAGCAGCGCGGACCTCGGGCGTCGCCAGCCAGGAGCCCCAAACCGGGACGCTGACGGGGATGCGGAGGTTTGCGTTTCTCGTGTCTATTCGCAAAGCGTTTTACGGGGCGTGCAAACTCTTCCGTGGGGTCGCGGGTCTGGAAGCACCCCCGGTTTTATTGCTGAGACCGGTGCGATGGCCAGTTGGGGCGGCCGCAGCTCTAAGGAAAGCACCGTCAGGCCGATAAAGCCGTTACAGCCGGCGACCCGCCGAGGGGAAGGGCCGCC